GATGCTGAGCTACACTCAGATAAATTTTTTAAAAAATTTCGAATAAATTAATTTGTGAGATAATTGATCGGGAATACTGCCAAAGTCTTTAGCAAAAAGTAGCGAATAAGAAATGTATGGCGCACTTTTTGATTGGTCCAGCGGATGCTGAGCTACACTAAAAAACAGATTTGGAAAAAATTTAGAGAAATTAAATTTTCGAGATAATCGTTCGGGAATACCGCCATAGTGATTAGAAGAAAGTTCTGAACAAAAAATGTATAACGCACTTTTTGATTGGTCCAGCGGATGCTGAGCTACACTCAGATAAATTTTTTAAAAAATTTCGAAAAAATAATTTTGCGAGATAATTGGTCGGGAATACCGCCAAAGTCTTAACCCGGGAGTCTCGAACAAAAAATGTATAACGCACTTTTTGATTGGTCCTGCGGATGCTGAACTACACTAGAAAACAAATTTGGAAAAAATTTAGAAAAATTAAATTTTCGAGATAATCGTTCGGGAATACCGCCATAGTGATTAGAAGAAAGTTCTGAACAAAAAATGTATGGCGCACTCTTCGATTGGTCCAGCGGATGCTGAGCTACACTAGAAAACAGATTTGGAAAAAATTTAGAGAAATTAAATTTTCGAGATAATCGTTCGGGAATACCGCCATAGTGATTAGAAGAAAGTTCTGAACAAAAAATGTATAGCGCACTTTTTGATTGGTCCAGCGGATGCTGAGCTACACTAGAAAACAAATTTGGAAAAAATTTAGAAAAATTAAATTTTCGAGATAATCGTTCGGGAATACCGCCATAGTGATTAGAAGAAAGTTCTGAACAAAAAATGTATGGCGCACTTTTCGATTGGTCCAGCGGATGCTGAGCTACACTAGAAAACAGATTTGGAAAAAATTTAGAGAAATTAAATTTTCGAGATAATCGTTCGGGAATACCGCCATAGTGATTAGAAGAAAGTTCTGAACAAAAAATGTATAGCGCACTTTTTGATTGGTCCAGCGGATGCTGAGCTACACTCAGATAAATTTTTTAAAAAATTTCGAATAAATTAATTTGTGAGATAATTGATCGGGAATACTGCCAAAGTCTTTAGCAAAAAGTAGCGAATAAGAAATGTATGGCGCACTTTTCGATTGGTTCAGCGGATGCTGAGCTACACTAGAAAACAGATTTGGAAAAAATTTAGAAAAATTAAATTTGCGAAATAATTGTTCGGGAATACCGCCATAGTGATTAGAAGAAAGTTCTGAACAAAAAATGTATGGCGCACTTTTCGATTGGTCCAGCGGATGCTGAGCTACACTAGAAAACAGATTTGGAAAAAATTTAGAAAAATTAAATTTTCGAGATAATCGTTCGGGAATACCGCCATAGTGATTAGAAGAAAGTTCTGAACAAAAAATGTATAGCGCACTTTTTGATTGGTCCAGCGGATGCAGAGCTACACTCAGATAAATTTTTTAAAAAATTTCGAAAAAATAATTTTCCGAGATAATTGGTCGGGAATACCGCCAAAGTCTTAACCCGGGAGTCTCGAACAAAAAATGTATAACGCACTTTTTGATTGGTCCAGCGGATGCTGAGCTACACTAGAAAACAAATTTGGAAAAAATTTAGAAAAATTAAATTTTCGAGATAATCGTTCGGGAATACCGCCATAGTGATTAGAAGAAAGTTCTGAACAAAAAATGTATGGCGCACTTTTCGATTGGTCAAGCGGATGCTGAGCTACACCAGAAAACAGATTTGGAAAAAATTTAGAAAAATTAAATTTTCGAGATAATCGTTCGGGAATACCGCCATAGTGATTAGAAGAAAGTTCTGAACAAAAAATGTATGGCGCACTTTTCGATTGGTCCAGCGGATGCTGAGCTACACTAGAAAACAGATTTGGAAAAAATTTAGAGAAATTAAATTTTCGAGATAATCGTTCGGGAATACCGCCATAGTGATTAGAAGAAAGTTCTGAACAAAAAATGTATGACGCACTTTTCGATTGGTCCAGCGGATGCTGAGCTACACTCAGATAAATTTTTTAAAAAATTTCGAAAAAATAATTTTGCGAGATAACTGATCGGGAATAGCGCCAAAGTCTTAACCCGGGAGTCTCGAACAAAAAATGTATAACGCACTTTTTGATTGGTCCAGCGGATGCTGAGCTACACTCAGATAAATTTTTTAAAAAATTTCGAAAAAATAATTTTGCGAGATAACTGATCGGGAATACCGCCAAAGTCTTAACCCGGGAGTCTCGAACAAAAAATGTATAACGCACTTTTTGATTGGTCCAGCGGATGCTGAGCTACACTCAGATAAATTTTTTAAAAAATTTCGAAAAAATAATTTTGCGATATAATTGGTCGGGAATACCGCCAAAGTCTTAACCCGGGAGTCTCGAACAAAAAATGTAGAACGCACTTTTTGATTGGTCCAGCGGATGCTGAGCTACACTAGAAAACAAATTTGGAAAAAATTTAGAAAAATTAAATTTTCGAGATAATCGTTCGGGAATACCGCCATAGTGATTAGAAGAAAGTTCTGAACAAAAAATCTATGGCGCACTTTTCGATTGGTCCAGCGGATGCTGAGCTACACTAGAAAACAGATTTGGAAAAAATTTAGAGAAATTAAATTTTCGAGATAATCGTTCGGGAATACCGCCATAGTGATTAGAAGAAAGTTCTGAACAAAAAATGTATGGCGCACTTTTCGATTGGTCCTGCGGATGCTGAGCTACACTAGAAAACAAATTTGGAAAAAATTTAGAAAAATTAAATTTTCGAGATAATCGTTCGGGAATACCGCCATAGTGATTAGAAGAAAGTTCTGAACAAAAAATGTATAGCGCACTTTTTGATTGGTCCAGCGGATGCTGAGCTACACTCAGATAAATTTTTTAAAAAATTTCGAATAAATTAATTTGTGAGATAATTGATCGGAAATACTGCCAAAGTCTTTAGCAAAAAGTAGCGAATAAGAAATGTATGGCGCACTTTTTGATTGGTCCAGCGGATGCTGAGCTACACTAAAAAACAAATTTGGAAAAAATTTAGAAAAATTAAATTTGCGAAATAATTGTTCGGGAATACCGCCATAGTGATTAGAAGAAAGTTCTGAACAAAAAATGTATGGCGCACTTTTCGATTGGTCCAGCGGATGCTGAGCTACACTAGAAAACAGATTTGGAAAAAATTTAGAAAAATTAAATTTTCGAGATAATCGTTCGGGAATACCGCCATAGTGATTAGAAGAAAGTTCTGAACAAAAAATGTATGGCGCACTTTTCGATTGGTCCAGCGGATGCTGAGCTACACTCAGATAAATTTTTTAAAAAATTTCGAAAAAATAATTTTGCGAGATAATTGGTCGGGAATACCGCCAAAGTCTTAACCCGGGAGTCTCGAACAAAAAATGTATAACGCACTTTTTGATTGGTCCTGCGGATGCTGAGCTACACTAGAAAACAAATTTGGAAAAAATTTAGAAAAATTAAATTTTCGAGATAATCGTTCGGGAATACCGCCATAGTGATTAGAAGAAAGTTCTGAACAAAAAATGTATGGCGCACTCTTCGATTGGTCCAGCGGATGCTGAGCTACACTAGAAAACAGATTTGGAAAAAATTTAGAGAAATTAAATTTTCGAGATAATCGTTCGGGAATACCGCCATAGTGATTAGAAGAAAGTTCTGAACAAAAAATATATAGCGCACTTTTTGATTGGTCCAGCGGATGCTGAGCTACACTCAGATAAATTTTTTAAAAAATTTCGAAAAAATAATTTTGCGAGATAATTGGTCGGGAATACCGCCAAAGTCTTAACCCGGGAGTCTCGAACAAAAAATGTATAGCGCACTTATTGATTGGTCCAGCGGATGCGGAGCTACAATCAGAGAAATTTTTTAAAAAATTTTAAAAAATTAAATTTGCGTGATAATTGGCCGTGAATACCGCCAAAGTCTTAACCCGGGAGTCTCGAACAAAAAATGTATGGCGCACTTTTTGATTGGTCCAGCGGATGCTGAGCTAGGTCAAAATAAATTTTGTGATTTTTTAAAACTTTGACATAATCGTTCGGGAATAATTTTAAAGTCTTATCCCTGGTGTCTCGATCAAAAAATGCACGGCGCCTTATTTTAAAATTAAACATTATGAAAGAAATTATTAACTTACATGGAATTTTTACTCAGTTGCGGTGTATTATCTTCGTGTTCTGCTCTGCAGTAAACTCCTTTTGCTTTACGGTTTATATCTGTAACATGAAAAAACAAACATTTAAAAAAATATTTTAACAAATATTTTATTTAGATAAATTAAATTTAATTATTCTGGTTTAATATATTTATAATTGTCATTATCGTGTTCTTATAATAAATTTTAATATTTTCATATTAAATCAATATGGTAGTTTAAATTAATTCTCATTATATATTATTTAAAGTTAATTTAATAATAATTTTCCTTTTTATTTTTTTTGTGAAATTGAAATTTTATAAATAAATGTTTATCAATATTTATAATCGAGGAAATTTTGCTTATGAAAATTTTTCATGGATGATCAGCAGTATAAACTCTGATGATAAAATAATTTAGTATCTAGTCAAAGCTCATAAGTCATTCATTTAAGAGTCTTTGTGCATATATTCTATGATTAGACAAAAGAAGTGATAAAACTCATGCTTTGTTCGGCCCTGACGCAGGTATGCCTCCTACGTCAGAAAGTCAACTGCTATACTCCTTGGTCCAGAAAGAAGATGGAAAGGTGGGAAATGAAGTTTTAAAGGAGGGGGGCAAGACGTGTTTAAATGCACAAACACACATGTATATATATATATATATAAGAATGAGAAAGAGGTAGAAAAACAGAATGAAATAAAAGATATATTCCAGAAGACACGAGACACATATCTGTCATTAAGAGAGAGGAACAAAGATGAAAGAGCCTTTGATCGGCGCAATACCGGAGTATACCAAACTCAAGTGTACTCATTGGATGAAAGTCAGTTTCAGACTCGCGCTGGACCGTGAAACGTGATTCCGAGGCGAGTGATCTCCCGTGATCGTGATTTTAATCGTTAGCCAGGATGTGAGGAGAGATCCTCATTAATCCGCCACGCTACGCGGCTCATATTATTGTTTTTTTTTCATTCTAATCAGAGCTTTCTCAAAATTTACAATAATTTTCTATTCTCAAATTTTTGCCAAGCGATTTTTTTAAAAAACTTTTTTAACTTCGGTGGCATTTTTTTAATATTCTGCGATAAAAAAATGTAAGTGTTTCTAAAAAAAATCGATAATTTATTTTAAAAAAAAAAGAACAATAATATAAATTACATTTTACTATTAAATATTTTTCAGAAATCTTCTGGGATCGTCCTAACGACGAGTGACAATCAAGGATCAAATCTTTTGGATATAAATCGCGAGTGATGTAAAGTGTCAAAAACGTGGACCAGTCAAGAAAAAAAAGTTGAATCGTCGATTTCACATCATTAAATTAACAAAAAGTTTATTTCGATTGATGGTGGGATTTTTTTTTTTTTATATAAACGACGACGATAATGAAATTTCACGTCATAGGGAATAAATAATAATAATAATAATAATAAGCGTGTCGAAAAAGAAGTGCTCATTAGTGTAGAATGATCGAGGATCGCACGTCGATACGAATAACGATTATCTCGTAAATTCGAGACTCTGGCAGTGACATAAGCGTGACGAGGTGTAACGATCCGAACTTGGAGTTACGTTCTGATCTCTCTCTCTCTCTCTTTCTTTCGAGCAAGACTCGATCAAATTAATGCCTTGGATGATCAATATACGGATGCATAAAGAATATTAAAGATCTATCACTTCAAGTGTAGAATATTAAAATTCGAAAGTATAAATTAAAATTCGAAAGTTAATGTAAGAAGGTGAAATTTAATGTTTCAAGCACAAAAATATTATAGGAAAACTTGAAAATAAGAAAACTTTTTCCCTAAAAGGATGTGAAAAATTTTCCATGAGAATCAAATTTTTTGGCACAATTGAATAAATATTGAAAATGAATTGATGTAGAGATTATAAGAAAATAATAATAAGAAGAATAAGATAAGAAATTTAAAAATTTATGCAATAGGGAAAGTATATAGTGTTTTGAAGAAATTGTTATAAAGATGATTTATCAGTCGAGTCACCAAGCACCGACAATGTCGTCGTCACGTAAAACTTCTCCACGACCACAACATAAGAATTTGCAAACTGCAGCGCCCAAGACTTCCTCATCAAAGGGAAAGCGTGGGACTTGTCGATCGACAGGAACTGAACGATGCAGAGGAAGATGCAGGGTCCAATGGAGTGAGCAACATGTTAAAGAGGGACTTGTTTTAGTTCAGGAAGCACAGCTTGCCAGAGTCGTGAAAACAGGACCAATTTCTGAGCACTATGAAATCGATCCAAAACCATTCGCAAGGTACAATATTTAATTTCTCATCAAAATTATTTTTAAAAAAATTTTTTATACAAAATTTTAAATATTTTCTTTTCAAATCCAAATAGAATTCAATTAGAGGAAAATGATAAAATATGATAATTTCTTTTTACGATCAGATTGTATACAAAAAATAAAACCACCTAAATTATTTCATTCCCATATCCCACGCGAAAATCACTTTTTTTGACAAGTCGACCTCGTGGAATTATTCTCCTTGCATCAAATGAATTTATCCTTCGTAAAAGTAATTTTCATTTGACATTTTAAAATTCTTCACGGTACAATATATGTATTTTAAAAATTTAATTAAAAGCTACATTCTTATGATCGACAAAATGTCTTATATGAGTATCATTATCACTTATAAAATTAATTAAAAGTAAATGCAACACCACTCACATATATACATTGTAAGATAAAATGTTATTTTTCATCATTTCTATTTTCTTTTCTGATAATTTAATTTAATATTCTATAATTATTAATATTTTACGTAAATCTAATGAAGTTTCAAAAAAAAAAATAGAATTTATTTAAATAATCAATTGTAATAATAATTTTTAAATATAATCGCTTTTCTAATATCAATTGGAAATTAATTTTGAAGAAATATTTATTTAAATCTGAAATAAAATTTAGAAACTAAACAATTAAAAACACATATTAGGAAATTTTTTTTAAATCTAAATTAAAATGGAGGTTGATATTCGTATCAAATATCAAACAAAGCCTCGATTTGTATTCAAGATTGTGTTTTTGTCCTCCAGATTTATTCATTTAATGATAATTTATAACAGCATCAATATCCTTTATCTGAATCTAACCGCGATTAAATCGCGTAATAGATAGTAATCTAAATAGTGAAACAGGAGCTACTATTGTTTGCCCACTATTCAATTTACGGAGCATTAGTCAAGTGAGATTTATGCCTCTTTGAAAGGACAATTATTATAAATAAATTAACAATTCCCTGTCAATCTAACGATTTTCTTGACAACTTTAACACCTTAAGTATAGCAAACTTTACTACTGTTCTGATTATTAATTAATTATTATGAATAATAATACTAATTATTATTATTAATTATTAAATTACTGTAATTAATTTCCATTATTATTTAATTAATAATTACTAAATATTTAATAATTAAATAAATTCTCTAAATCTGAATCAGTCATATTTTACTGATTAGCAGTAGAAATCTACTAATTGCTATAGCGAGAATTGTGCAACTGACAATTAGTACAAATTTACTGATTCAATTAGTAAAATATCAATTACTGATTGAATCAGTAATATAAATATATGGCGTCGGACGCAAAATCTACTGATTTAATAGTTAATTTTTAAGGTTATGTTATATACAAATTACTGATTTACATAAGTTTTTTTCTATTGCTTGCATATTCACTAATTATATTAGTATATTTCAAAAAATAACTGAAACTTCAGTTAAAATGAAAAGTACTGATTGAATTAGTAAAATTTCTACTGATTCACTCTCTAAATCTGAATTAGTAAAAATGTTTACTAATTTGAATTAGTGACTCACTTTTTGCTTCTGAATTAGTTAATTTTTACTAATTGTTAGTAAAAGTTACTAATAATTAGTAAACTTTTACTACTTCAGAAGCAAAAAGAGAGTCACTAATTCAAATTAGTAAACATTTTTACTAATTCAGATTTAGAGAGCAGATTTAGAGAGTAAGATCTGAACACTAAAATACAAATTTTAAAAATTAAATTTTTCATAAACTATAATCAAAATGACAAGGAAATAAATTCGTGTACATCTAAATAATTTATATAAATATAAGTAATGTTGTAATACAAAAAATTAAATATATCTCAAACTTATTATATTGAAACACGTCAATTACAAATGGAGCCATCAAAAAATAACTTGAAAGTAATTTTTTCACTGTCTCATAATTTATATTGACATGTTCAATTAATTTTTGATCATCTTATTCATATACATATATACGACATTTCATATATTCATCATTTTTATTTTGTTTTTTGTCCCCTCTGTACAATTTGGGAGAAAATTTGTATACGTGATATACATCATAACGAACGTATATATAAAATACAAACTAATTTCCAATTAATGTGTATTGGTTAATCATACAGACAAGTAGTGATTGCATGAAAAATCAAATTGTCAAATTTTCTCCCTCGCAAAACTTGTTTACAACACCAATCAGATATTTTTTTTCCCTTTACCATATGCAGTCACAGTTACAAATCACATTTGATTTTTTTTTTTTTGAAACGCAACTTTCGGTGATTTAAAAAGACCCACTCGACATTTTGACTCATAATAATAATGGCGTTAATAGAAAAAATTAATAACCAATAATTATATTAATAATCCATAATAATAATAATAATAAAAATAATGAAAATAAAAAAAATTAAATAATAATAAAAAGAATTAGGATAATAAATTAATAATGATGACTATAATTTGTTTACACTACAATTAATCAAAAATCCAATTGATTTAAATGATTAATGATCAAAATTACTATTACAGTCTATTGCAATTGCTTTAATTTTAATTATTATTGATCAAAACTACCATTAATTATATATCAAAAATGTATTTTTAATTTCAATTATTATTAATAATAAATTTCATTGATATTATATCGAGGAATAATTTTAATTTATAATTTTAATCAATTTATAGTTATCGGAGAAAATTTTGGAAAAAATCCTAACGCCGGGAATTGAACGCGGGACCCTAACGTTCGCAAGTCGACAATCTAACCGCAAAGCCACGAACATACACATATAATTAATTTATAAAAATTGGCATAAAAGGATATTTTTTTCATTATTTTAAGCAGTCTGCTAAAATAATTATGAAAATAATTTAACATGCACGAAAAAAAATAAAATATTTACCTTAATGACGAATTTTCAGCTTCAAGAACATTCTTTCAAACTAAATAGCATTCGGAGATCCCTACTTTCAAGTTAAATTTCCATTCAGAAAATGTGAAAAATAACCGTAAAAATAGACCGAGTTCTAAAAAGTCTGAAACTGGAGAATCCTGTGTCCTTCCTGATAAGATATCCTTTTTTTCCTTGGGCCATTGTATTTGAAGGACGTAACACCACAAGCCATTGAGGATAGAATCTGCAAAAAGAAAAATGAAAATATAGAAAACTATAAAAAAATTTCATTTCCGAATTTAACAAAAATAAGTGTATAGCTATTCTAGTGAAATCTTTCGCTGTTTCAGGTAATTTTTTTTCGTGTGTATTAAAAAATACTATTTTCTTTAAAATTTCGAAATTTTTTTAAAAACTATTTATTTTGTTACAAATAATGAAAAAAACGTCAAGGAATATAATTAAGAAAAGTAAAATCACATTTAATGTTTGAAAAATGATGTCTTTAGGAGATAAAAGAAAAAAAAAAGACAAACACTATAAAGCTCAGTGGCGCGTGTGGACGACGAGCTTCCAAGATCGTACATCTTACTGAGATATTAAAATGTCGTTGAGCTCTGATGCATAAAGGAACTTACTTAACTGAGAAAGCGAAAATACGTTGCACGTTTGGTTCAACCTTGCCAGGCGCCATGGCGTCGGCCTTGCCACTAAAAGCCGCTATAGAATCTTCGATGACGATCATCATCATCATCATCATCATCTTTTTTTTATACTCACACAAACCCCCCTCAATACAATTAATCTTTCATCTTTTAATTAAATCGTCTTCTAACGTTCATCTACAATTTTTCCCTAATAATATAAATATATATCGAAGATACAAAATAATCTCTTTTCGTGTACAATAAGTACGGAATTTTTTTTTTCACAATTATAAATAAAAATATATTTATCTCAGAGATAAATATTTATAAATATTTATTATTTTGAAATAAAAAATTAGGAATCGAATTTTATTTTTAAATAAAATTTTTAATCGAATCAAAATTTTTTTAAATCAAAATATAAATAATTTTTTTAAATTAATTTTTCTCTCCTGTCTCAAAGAAAAATTAATTTTAACATTTTATAATGGTAATTCACTTTCACGCAAATAAAATATATAAACCTGGAATATATTTCATTTTGATTTGTATATGCGCTTTCCTTTGAATTGCGAATTTTTAAATACAATCACGGAAGTATATATATATATATATATACATACGAAAAACATGAAAATAATCTTGAATCTTGTAACTGAGATTAAAAAGTCATGTAGCGTTTCATAAAAAAGTATAATGCAATAAATCTTAGGAATACAAAAAGATCCTTATTTTCGCCGTCTTGAAGTTCCGAATTCTCATTGAAAGGAGCGTTTTTTTTTCCCTACCTCCCTCTCTTTACGTCGGTCATCACACTCTTTACTCCTGCAAATCCTGACCATACACTCTATTTTTGAATTGTCGTCGCGCAAGATCCTTTCAAGGACGAAAGAGCGGTTTTGTCGCGCGTATAAAATTTCATTTCCCGCTCTTTGGCAAATTACAGGAAGAAAGAAGGAAGCCCCTTGACGACAACGCGAGTCACTGACATATACGAAATTTTTTTAAATAAATTATTATCAATAAATAAAAAAAAAAAAAAAACAGGAGCAATCATACAGGAAACCTGTTTGCATTCTCTATACCTCTTTTTCTCTAGCAAGTTCTCGATATAACAAGTTAATTAGTTGCTTTTAATTAATATTTTAATTTTCAAACTAGAATCCTTAATTACTTTTGATTTATTTAAATGATACTATACGCCTTTTATAATTAATAAGATAATTATCAAGTGTCGGATATTGTGACTTTATACTTTCTTTTTTTTTTGCAAAATAAAAGTAAACAAAGAAGTTATAATTAAACGTATACATATAATGATATTATTTTATATAAAAATATATTTAAAAATATATATATATAAATATATTTAAAAAATATAAAAAAGTTAATATATAGGAAGTAATAAAAATTTAATTAATTAATTTCAAAATTATCTATTTTCAGCGGTCAGTGGGCGAAGGTATTTAAATGCAGAGCGCGATCATCTGGAATTTTATATGCAGCCAAATATTCGTCTAGGAACAGATTTAATGCAGATTGTAGTGCAGAATTAAGGCATGAAATAGCATTACTATCATTATGTTCACAATCACCTCGAGTCGTTCGTCTACACGATGTCTACGAAACACCCAAGGAAATCATTTTAGTCATGGAATAGTAAGTCAAAAATTAATTAATTAATTAATTATAAAATTCCTCTCTAAATTATCTAAAAATTCTTTTTTTTATTATAATATTAAATTTTGCTAAAAAGACGTAATTTTTTTCTATTAAAAAAAATGGACAAAAAATCAATATGTAGTAGAATTTACGATCATGACCATGACCATGTGAGAACAATTCTCTCGGCAATAATAATTAAGGTTGACGCAACTATTTTTCCTAGTGAATTAAAGCAATGCTATATAGTCACACATATATATATATATTAGTCAAGGACGGAATTTTCTTTTCTTCCCACACGACAAAATGCGTCTTTTGTATATGTATATATACGAAAAACGAATTTCAATCAAATGATAATTCACTTTCAAGCGCATGTAGCTCTCGAAAGGAAAGTAAACAAAAAGAAAAGAATTTCAAAAGAAAAAAAAATTTTTTTTTGTCGCTCTGTATAAAAGAAATAAAAAAAAAACAGCAAAGATAAATAAATTGAATTTAAAGTCTGGCATTCCCTGTTTATTGGGTCGGTGTTGGAGAAACGTATAATACAAGAAAGGTTATTGGCAATGTTGATACTGTTTTATGTATAGAGGGACTACTTACTACTACATCGACCTAGCTTAATGGTGAAAAAAAAAAAGAATTTCGAAAACACATTTGCATTGTGTGCGAGTGAGAGAAGGAGAGGAAATCGAAAGGCACTTTGAGAGTGCAACAGCGGCAATTGGCCATTTAATTTAACGACAACAATGACTTGTCGGTGTGCGCGCAAATAATAAATAAATAAATATATATTGCAATTGTTGATGATTTCTGTTTTTTTTTTTTTTCAGCGCACCTGGCGGAGACCTGCAAACGCTGATAGACGGTGATTTGGTGCCCCTCGAAGGTGACGTGGTCCACTTTGTCAGACAGCTAGTGGAAGGACTTGCCTACCTCCACGAAAGAAATATCGCCCATTTGGACATCAAGGTAAGTTCGACCCATAAAAGGTCGTACAATACTCGCTTATTTTTCATTTGTGTTAGTCGACTCGCCGTGTCTTTTTCATATACATATGTGTATCGAGGGTCTTTATAGGTAAACCAGAAGGTTTTAACTTTAACGCAAATAAACTATTCGGAAGCGAATCAAATCATTAATGTTAATAATAATATAGAGAATTTAAAACTACCATCAAGTTTTAATTTTCGATTAAAAAGAGAACTTACATTCATTTAATAAATTAATTTTATCCTCTAATTAATTACCTGGTCATTAATCCTAAAAATTCTCAATACAAAGTATAATTAATCCTAAATTATTATCGATCCAATCGCGATCAATTCAAATTATATCTAAATTTTTATTCATCAATTATTATTGATCCAAATTATTATAGATCTATAAATTATCGCATCAATTCGCAAATATTTATTCATCAAAATAATTATTGCATTGCTTCAAATTACCACAGTGGGAAAAAAAATTTGATTCAAATAATCGATTACTTGACTGTTATCAAATAAATATTTATTCGAATTCAATAATCAATAATTATTATTCGAGTCAATTAATTACTTTCAATTACAGAAATTACTGGTTAAAATACAGTTTATTTAATTCGAATAAAAATTATTTGATTCAAGTAAATTATTTGCACAGAAAATTATAAGGTATTAAAATAAGCTGCAACGCTTATTATTCTAATCCAATTTTGCTTATTTTAATACCAAAATGGATTAAAATAATAAGCGTTGCAGCTTATTTTAATGCCTTTTAATTTTCTGTGTGACAATAGTTAAAGTCATTAATAATTTGAATTAAATAAATTTGTTTTCAATGCATCAATACAATTTTTTATTCATCAAAATATTTTTCGATTTTTTTTTTTGATAATTTATCTAAATTACCATCAATCCAATTTTTTTATTCATCAAAATTATCACATTTATCTAAATTACGATCAATCGAATTTTTTATTCATCAAAATTATTAACGATTCAAATCCAATTTTTTATTCATCAAAAAATTATCATTAATCCAATGTATTAATAGATCTAAATGACTATCAACAAAAATTTTTAATCATCAACATTAATAATATCGATATAATTGCATAAAAAAGGAAAAATATCAGTAATTATAATGAAAAGAAGTTCCGTAATGGAATAATGATGTTATAACCATATATTCTATAGAGGCGCAAAGAGACAAAGAACTACATAAAGATTATCCAAATGGCCAAATTATTGCAATTTTATTTTAACAAATCGTTATCATAAATTTTAATTCATGTGCGCATCTTTTATACAAAATGGAAAATTAAATGTATAATTTTATCTAATTTAAACAATTAATTTGGATTATAGAGTTATTAATTGTGATATAATAAATTGTTATCATTAATTTTTATAAGTTAGAGTTCATGGTGAGTCGAATTTTCAATAAATATTGCCAACTTAAAGCTTTAATTTATCATATATATATATTACACGGAGAGAGGAGAAGAAGAAGGATATTAATAAAGTTGACGATAATGAGAATAATAAAAAATAAAAAAAAAAATGCAGTTGCGCGCCAAGAGACTTGAGTATGTCAACGTGTTGCCCTGACTTTATTTAATGTTTCTTTTTTTTCATGAGTGATAAGCAATTATCTTTAGTTATAATATGTAAAGACGAGAAGAAAGAAAGATTTGCTATAACATTCGAAGGATAAAAGACGGGATTTAAGCATTGAATGCGATTGGTCGATTTAATGAATAATTAGTGCAACCACCGCCTTCTCTTTTTCCTTCATTTCAACCACTACATCACCCTTTCCACATTGTAAATTTATCTATTCTCTATACAGAAATTACTTACACAATATTTTTAACTTTCAATTACCAATGAATTACCAAACAAGAATTAAAATTATCAAAAAAGAACTATTTCAAAAAAAAAACTATCACAAATTTACTATAATTTAAAAATTCTATCACCTAGATTTTTGATTAATAATTTTCGATTCATAAATTTTGCAGTAACAGAATCTAGATGAAAAATTTTTTAAATTATGACGAAACAAAATATAACGAATTCATCCTTGATGGAGGATGCTCGAATCTGGTGAGAACAACGAACCCGATATATATATAGGAGACCATCGAGGATAACGATTGGCCTCGACCTTAACGAGGGATCCAATGTAAGGGTCCTGTAAAGGGGTCTCTTGACCTCGACAATCAAAATAGACTTCATACACTGGGGGCCCGTTCTCTTTTCTTATATTATTCACGAGAGAAAGATATTTTTATCCAACACCCACATTATGGATTACCTCGACTTAAGTCGAGGTAATAAAACCTATATAATAATAATTATAATATTGTGAATTCGTCAGAGAAAGAACTAAAATCTACTTCCACAGCTTCCTTAATTAAATATGATTTACTATATAACCTTATCTCTCGTACTCATTTAATTATACTTTCAACAAAATTTCATTATATTTTTTTTCAATGAATTAATCGATGTTACTATAATATTAATATTTATAAATTAATGTTTTAAAAAAAAATTATTCAACTTATTAATAAATTGTTAAATTTGTAAATTAATAATATTAAATTACTTTCTATAAAAATTAAATTAAAAATTGACTAATTTTATATAATTATTATAGAGCAATTGCGCTAGTAAATTCGCGGTTGGGGAGGAAAACTTTTTTTTTAAACAGCCCTTTGTTCATGCGGGATAGGCCCGTAAAAGGAAATCCAATTTGTTTTCTGGATACTTATCGCAAATTGTCGTCGCGCCTTGGGAGCTACGTAAAACGACAGCACAAGAGGTCGTAATTAAACCTTTCCATGATTCTCTTTATTCTTTTCATTATTATTTTACTGATTGTGTCTGACACACGGGCAACTGGTACTTCATCGTCAGGAACATGGTTCACGGTCGACCTGATGTCCCGATATCACCGACAATTTCTATTGGTGGTATTAACGATATTAATCCAGGGACAATGTGTTTATATATATATACTCCCTTTTATAATTTAAAACAAAACCTAGACAACCCCTCTTCATTATAATAACGAAGAAAAAAAAAATTAAAAAAAAAAATTATAATTTTACTACTTTCAAAAACTGTATGGAAAATAGAAAAAATTATTTATGAAATAGTAAAACTACAAATAGGAGCAATAAAACTGACAGAAACTCCAGACAGTTTGGAAGTAACAAAAATTATGTTTTTTTTAATTAATTGTATTATTAGATGATTTGATAGAATTCAATCACTAACAAAATAAGATGAAGGAGAATTTTATAGGGCAGAACGATGACTCGAACAACCATATACGATTTATGGTCACAGAGGTTACACACGGACTTTGGTTTAAAAAAGATTTAATATATATGTCTGATGCTTTTTACTATATATATTCTCAATGATACAAGTTCAATTCCACATTGAAAATTGACGATTTTTGAATGATAAAAACGAATTTTTCCTAATAATACAAACCCAGTCAAAAAAAGTTCTATAGAATTTCACTAGAATGATTCTATAGAATATTTCTAGTAAACTCTAATTTTTAAATAAAAAGGGACATAAATTCTATAGCTGATTGCTATAAATTATTTTAAACAATTTTATTTTTCTTAAAGGTTAATGTTTTTTTCATAAGATTCTGACATTTTTTTTTGGTTATTACAGATTTTATATTTCTAATCAAAATCAATTGAAAATTGTTTTAAAAATATTAAATTGCAACCACAAATTTTACTGTTTCTATAAAATTAACCATTTCCAACTTACAGCCACTTGAAAATGACGATGGGTGGCACCTACCCAGTATGAGACCTCCGCTTTCGAAAAAAAAGTTGTAACATTGAGGGGTAATTAAAAAAGTTCCTTGGAAAAATTGTTTAAAAAGACACTTGGATATATGTTGTATGATTACACGCATTGATCTTTAAGAAAAATAAAATTGTTCAACATAATCACTGCGATATTAGCTAGAAAATTCGTGTCTTTTTTATTTAAGAATTAGATTTTACTAGAATTTATATAGAAATTCTATAGAACCGTTCTAGTGAAATTCTATAGAACTTTTTTGACTGGAAATATGACTATTTATTGCTATCATTTTATGATTTTAATTTTAATAATTATTGCCAATAATAATTTAATAAAAGAAAATAATTAATATCTCGAGCGCACATTATATAGAAAACTATCATGTTCAATATAATAAGAACAAGGGACTGACAAAACTCAAAGTGATAAGATTGCCTACGCATTTTTGTGCAAATCAACCACACCTTTCAAATACAAATGTATTATAAATGTAGTAGCCCGAAGTTAGTGAATCACCTGGTTAACTCATAGGTATAATTTACCTACACTCGCAATAAAACTGGAGCAACGTCCTCTTATCAATGTGATATACAACCTTTGCTCGCAACAGAAAGTAATAGAATATATCTCGACCAAATAATTTCTAATACAGATTTAATCTCAAAAATTTAGATATTTATCACAAAAATACAAAAACAATAACAATTGATCGTTTGTTTTAATGCAAAATTCTGTATAATAATTCATTTAACAATAAACTTAAAGTACTACAAGTCTTGACAAAAATGTATAAAACGAACCATCATGAAAAAAAGAGAATGCATGGAATATAATAAACCGTATATAACTGAGATTTATTTATAAGTGCGTTGTCATTATTTATTATTGACCACATGACCAAGTCATCATTGGGAAAAAAAAACTTTGAATATTCAGAAGCGCCCACGTTTGAAAAAAAATGATCAAGGTTTCCATTCAGGGAACATCTAACTGAATTTCTTCGTTTTGCATATATATATATATATATATATATATATATATATATATATATATATATATATATATATATATATTCATCAAAAGGCTACAAATAATTATTATTTCACTGTATATAAATTTCCATTTCCAAAACAATCATTTATT